GTACCCACCAGTGACATCAACAAACCTACCCATATACACAACAGCCGCCCCTTTGAATATGCCTGATATACAATCTGCCAACGACTGCCGGCAACTTCGTAAGATTCACGACTTACCGTACAGGGAAACCACAATAAATTATAACTATTCAAACTTAGAAAACTTAATTCGTTTACAAAAATCACTCAAAGGTGATTCTAGAGCCAAAGTAGAATCATTTTTGATTCACCCCGATACTGTGATGCAGGTGGTCAGTACACTTGACTTCCATTATGGTCGTCATCAGTTGCTAATTGTTAGTGTGAGACTTGAAGTGAAAAATCAGTCGATTGTCATTTAAAGATCGTGGATCTAGGGCAACAGAAATTTTAGAAATTGTTCCGACTTATGTGGTCCTATGGAAGAAGTTTCATTCAGTGGTTCTCGTTATTGACCTTTATATATTGACCTTTATACATTACAGTAGAAAAGTTTTTGGATACTTTCTAAAGTCAAAAGATCAAGTTGTTGGAATATTTGAAGAATATAAAAAGCTTGTAGAAAATCAGACTGGTAGAAATTTTAAAGTTCTGCGTACTGATAACGGTATTGAGTTCTGTAATCGACAAATAAATGAAATTATTACTTCCTCCGGTATCATACATCAAACAACTGCTCCATACACACCGGAGCAAAACGGTTTGGCTGAAAGAATGAATCGAACCATCATTTAGAAAGCTAGATGTTTACTAATTCAGGCGAATTTAAACAAAAAATATTGGGCAGAAGCAGTAAATACATCTGTCTATCTTATAAATCGTTTACCCTGTAAAGGTCTTGAAAATTCTACACCGGAAGAAGTTTGGTCAGGACGTAAGCCAACTTTGAAACATTTAAAAGTTTTTGGTTGTATGTCTATTGTACAGGTTCCTAAAGAAAAACGTAAGAAGCTTGATCCTAAAGTTAAAGAATTGTTATTTGTTGGATATTGTGCTACATCTAAAGCATACAGATTTCTTGATCTTAAAACGAAAAAAATAACAATTAGTAGAAAAGCAATATTTTTGGAAGACAAATTTCTCAAAGATGTGTGTGAAGACAACAACAATGTTTTTTATATTCCATTCGATGAAAACCCGACAATTTTATTAGCTCAACCGAAGAAAATCAGAGGATGAAGTTATAACAGTTGGTACTTCAAGAAATACTCCTGCAGTTTCATTAAGTGAATGTATTGTTAGTGATGATGTACAATCAGAAGAAGCCATAATAATTAACAACATAGATACACCTACCGTTAGTAATGATAAAATCTTGGAAGAAAATGTAAATGTTGGAAATTCTGATGTGCCAAATAAAAACTTAAGAAGAACTACTAGAATTCGTAAAGTTGCAGCTCGTTATGCAAATACTGCATCAAATCTTGCTCTAGTAGAACCCACTACATTAAAAGAAGCGCTGAATGGTCCTCAAGCTGAATTATGGAGACGCGCAATGGAGGATGAATACAGAGCTTTGATTGATAACGGTACATTGATTGAATGTGATTTACCAATAGATAAGAAACCGATATCGAACAAGTGGTGTTTCAAAATTAAACGTAATAAGGCCCGTTTAGTGATTAAAGGTTATTCGCAAAAGAAGGGGATTGATTAAGAAGAGACGTTCTCACCTGTTGTGAGATATTCATCAATTCGCTTATTACTCGCTTTAGCTGTTAAACATGACTTAGACATTGACCAAATGGATGTTGTCACAGCATTTTTGCACAGTAACTTAGATGAAGAGATCTATATGCAATTCCCTGAATGTTTTCAAAGTGAAAATGGTAAAGTTTGCAAATTGAAAAAATCGTTGTATGGATTGAAGCAGGCTAGCAGATGTTGGAATCAGAAATTAAGCAAAACTTTAATTGGCTTTGGAATGATTCAATCGAAAACTGATCCATGTATATATTACTATGTAGAAGGGGAAATAAGGCTGTACATAGCAATATATGTTGATGATATTTTGATTTTTTCAAATGACTTCTCTAAAGGACAATGTCGAATTTTAAGATGAAGGATATTGGTAATGCAAATTTTATACTTGGTATGAAGATAACACGTGATAGGTGAAACAGAAAACTATGGATTGATCAACAACTTTACCTAAAAGATATTATTAAAAAGTTTAATATGTAAGAAAGCAAGGGGGTTAGTACACCTCTAGATTTTAATCAGAATTGTGTCCAAATACTGAAGATGAAATAAATGAAATGAAGAAGGTTCCATATCGAGAAGCTCTTGGAAGTCTTTTGTACGCATCACAAATAAGTAGACCAGACATTTCGTATGCAGTAGGAACCCTCTCTAAGTTTACGCCAATCCTGGAAAAGCACATTGGGTTGCTGTTGCACATTGGGATTCGCAGACGCAGACTGGGCAAATGATCAAGATAACCGTCGATCGACAACAGGCTTTGTCTTTCTATTTCAAGGATCCGCAATATCTTGGAATTCAAAAAGGCAAGCTACTGTGGCACAAAAAGGCAAGCTACTGTGGCACTACTACCGAGGCTGAATACATGGCATTATCTGCAGCATGTCAAGAAGTAAAGTGGCTAAAATCATTGTACTATGACAACAATGGAGCTATAGCTTTAGCTCATAACAATGTATACCACGCTCGTTCCAAACACATTGACATTCGTCATCACTTTGTTCGTGACTTGGTTCATAGCAATATTATACAAATAAATCATGTTGGTACTGAAGATATGGTCGCAGACATCTTTACTAAAGCATTACCTGCTGGAAAGTTTAATGAATGCCGTCAACATCTTGGAATAAGAAAATTCAATTCTAGTAGGGGTGTTAGTGTAAAGACTTGAAGCATATAGTAGGGATATAGGCGAAACTGAAGGGGTTGTCAAACAAAATTTGTTATTCTCTTCACACAGATGAGTTCTCAGAGAATAAAACACACTAAACGCACTCACAAACCTTCAAATTTTCTAGGTGAAAATGCGAGGACATTAGCACTTAATAGGTTTTCTTATCACTTAAACTTAATATTTATTATTTTTGCCACACTTTTAATGTATTTAAAACCCCGAAAATAATTTATATTTTACAAACGAAAAAAATATTTTTAATTCTTTGACATTTCATTTTAATTAAAACTGACAAAAGAAAATTTTTAAATTTTCGTATTGAAAATGATAAAAGTATTTCATATACTTTTTTCTTTGCCCATTAGTGCAGAAAATAAAAATAACAAAAAGACTTGTTTATAATATGTTTTAAGATGAAATGTCTTCTAAAAAAATTTATTAACTAATATTTTCATTCACTAGTATATGAAATCCCAGTAATAATATACAAAAATAACGTATCAAATATGCATTTAATATTTAGTATCTTTTGAACAACTGTGTTTAATTTTGTGCTTCTACTAATACATTCTCACCAGTTAGGTTTTTGACAGGGGACTTAGGTCTTTGACAATCCCTTTCGCCTATATGCTACTATATGACTTGAAGTTTATATTATTTGTTATATTAATCAAGTATTCAATGTTTTATAGTTGAAATGTATTTCAAATATCTTTTTTCACTTTTTTCACTCAATAAACCTTAATACATTACTAATACGCAGCCAGATTGCAAAAGTGCGAGCCATCCCCTCAATTACTGAAAAGAGAATGTATGAAACTGTTAATTTTACCATGGTACCATGGTTTCTAATTTGTCGGCATTTTTGTTAAATGCGAACTGCTAGACGAGTAAGTCAATAAGCTTCCGCTTCGGAAACGAGAGGAATGGACAAAACAATCAACCATCTTAGGCCGTATCCCAGTGTACATGGCTTTAGTTTAAGGTTGCAGGAAGTTGCAACATATATTTCGCTTTCGTTGGAAGCAGACCCCGGTAAACCAGATGTACCATACCATAAAAAAGAGAAAACTAATCCATCGTTTACGATTGTGACTGAAGATAATCGACTTACTAAGTGTCCCATGTGCCAGCAAAACCACTTATTGTACCACTGCGATAAATTCAAAGAAATCCCTACAAATGAGAGATGGCAATTTGTGAAAAATATTCACCTCTGTTTTGGTTGTCTTCGTCCCGACCATAATTCAATGTGGCTTGTCAAAAGGTGTGAAATATCACAATCGTTTATTACACGAAGATGTAAAATTAAAAGGGAATGAAAATAACATAGTTGATCACGAAAGTAGTAACACTATTGAATGTCAACATATAAACACGGTTCAATGTGAGGATGACAACAAATTGAACGAGGTGAAAATGTACGGGGAGAATATCAGCGACTCTGTAAATGCAATTGTTAGCGAATTAATTGACAAAGAAACATTATTTAAATATTTACCGGTAGAGTTAACAGTACCGAAAATGTAGTATAAAGGTTGTGGGCTTTATAGATGAGGGTTCAAAAATAACTCTTTTGGAAAATGATGTTGCTGATAAAATTGGACTTAAGGTACTGCTAATAATTTATGTCTTGGTTGGATTGGAGGTAAGACCAGTAATGAAATGTCAAGTAAGGTGAATTTTGAAATAAGTGGTATTAATGAAAATAATCCCAGTTTTCAAATGAGAAATGTCTTTACGACGGAAAAATTTAAACTTGCCGTCGCAAAATCTTCAATTTGATAAATTTAAGAGAAATTTTCCCATTATGAACGAAGTAAGGTGAATTTTGAAATAAGTGGTATTAATGAAAATAATCCCAGTTTTCAAATGAGAAATGTCTTTACGACGGAAAAATTTAAACTTGCCGTCGAAAAATCTTCAATTTGATAAATTTAGGTGAAATTTTCCCATTATGAACGAAGTTGTTATTGATGATTATTATGATGCCCGGCCAAAATTACTAATAGGTCTACCCCATACTAGTCCCGTTCGTCCATCTAAAGTTTTAAATTTAGACGGATGTTTTGCCTTACATCAAACGAGTTCGGCCAACATAATTTTTGGATCGAATGACATCTCGACTGAAGCAAAGGAATGTAAAATTCATGTGGATATTTTAAATAATATTCATAAACAAGTTTTAGATTATTTTACGCTGGAAAATTTGGGAATTAAATTATTAGGGCCAATAGTATCTCATGATGATATGAGAGTTGAGGAAATATTAAATAGTACCACAATAAGAAAAGAGTCCCAATACGAAACTGGCCTTCTATGGAATCGGGATGTGTTTGAAACCAAGGATAGTTATCCTATGGCATTAAAGCGACTGCAGAATATGGAAGCCAAAATGGATAAGGATAAAAGTTTAACTCAATGGTATATGGCTAAGATAAATGATGGAAGCTGCAATGAAAAATAATCGTACCTGGTACTTGCCCCATTTTGTTGTAACGAATGTAAATAAAGAAAACAAAAGACGCCTAGTTTTTTTTAATTCGAGGTTAATGAAAGGACCCGTAAAGTATCAACCTAAGTCGCTGTTGTCTATATTATTTCGATTTCGCCAGGGTAAAATAGGAGTTTGTGCCGAGAAGAAGAGAAGATAGCTCAGATTTTTCTCTGGCGAGATGGGCAGTCTGATAGGCCGCCTGATGGATATGTTATGCAGGTTATGATATTTGGTTCGGTCAGCTCTCCTTGTTTAGCGCAATATGTTAATGCTGAAATATACAAAGATACTCATCCCAAGGCTAATAAGGCAATAGTTGATAACCATTACGTGGATGATTACGTCGATAGTTTTGACGATATGAATGAAGCCATTAGTGTTATCAGGGATGTAGTTTATATTCATAACCAAGCAGGATTCGAACTGAGAGGTTTCGTGTCAAATTCAAAGAAGCTTTTAACTGCAATAAATGATAGCGAATATATAAATGACGATCAAAGTTTGACAAATTTATGCGATAACGAAACTACATCTGGGAAAATTTTGGGGAGGCAATCTGATGATAGTTTTTGCTTTGTCCTGAAGTTTGCAAGAGTACCAAAAGAAGTATTAAATGGGGATCGGAAAGTGTTGAGCCTTACAATGTAAATTTTTGATCCCTACGGTTTTCTAGCCAATAATAATAATAAATATAAAATCTAAAGTCTTTCTACAGGAGTTGTGGAGGAGCAAAATTGTGTGGGATTTGCCCATTCCTGATGAGATTTATGCAAAATGGTACGTATGGTACAGAAGCTTATATGATATATGTGAAGTGAAAATATCCAGGTGTTATGGGAGAAATCTCTTTAGTACGAAGACAGTGGTTGATCTACATATTTTTGCGGACGCTAGTCAAGTAGCCTATGCCACCGTTGCCTATTGGAGGTTGTGTCACCATGGTGATGTTGACGGTGTTTTTGTTGCAGGCAAGTCGAGATATGCGCCACTAAAGCCGCTTTCCATTCCACGCCTTGAGCTGCAGGCGGCACTTCTCGGGGTAAGATTGAAAGAGTCAATAATATCCTGTCACGACAAAAGGCTAATGAACGTCATATTTTGGTAGACTCCAAAAAGGTATTGAAATGGATTCAGTCTGACAGGGCCTATAAACAGTTCGTCGCCCACCGTATCTGTGATACTGTATCGCAGATGAGGTGGAACAACGGCGTTGGTTGCCTGGAGCACTAAATCCTGAGGGTGAAGCAACCAGGCCACATAACTTTTCAAAAGCATTTTCATCATCAAGTTGGTTGAATGGACCAGCATTTTTAAGAGATTTTAAAACAAGTTGGCCAAAACTCCCTGATGATATTGATGAACATGAATGTCAAGCGGAGAGGAGATCCAAACTTTTTTTGTACTGTAAGTGACAAATCAATCATTCCATTCGAGAGGTATTCAAACTTTTATAAACTGGTCAGAGTTATGTGTTGGGTTCGACGAGCGGTGAGAATGTTTAAGTCGTATGGCGCCGTTCGAAAAGAAATAGCTGTAAATTTTGGACGTCAACTAAGTGCTAAAGATATTAATAATACTACTGACTTTTTGTGTAAAATGGTTAAAAGAGAAGTTTTCTCAGAGGAGTACAATCAATTGAGAATGAATAAACCGCTATCTAAGTCTAGCTCCATTTTTAAATTGACTCCGTTTTTAAGCAAAGATGGCTTAATTTATTTGTGTGGTTGTATCTACAATACCACTTGTGTTGTTCGTAGTACGCTTATTGTAAAGCAATATCATGAACAATTTAGACACCAAAACCACGAGTCGATCTGCGCCGCAATCAGAGTAAAGTTTTGGATCCCGTGTCTGCGGCAATTAGTAAGGTCCGCTAAAAGGAATTGCCAAAGCGATGGGTATCTTTATTTACATGTCTAACAACCCGAGTGGCCTCCGGTAGGTTAGTGGTTAGTGTTCTAGTCTGGTAGACCGGAGGTGGTGGGTTCGATTCCCACCTGAGGCACTGGTTAAGGAGCGCACAACAGGCCCGATAGAGGCCTAGGTGTATTTCTTCGGATTTGATGTATATACATCCTCCTTTCAAACTAACTAACGAACAACCCGAGCAATTCATCTTGAAATTGCAAAAGATTTGTCAACTGATGCAGTGATATTGTGTATACGAAATTTTGTCAACCGAAGAGGCTTGCCTGTGCGTATAAGAAGTGACAGCGGCACAAACATTGTGGGTGCAAGCAAGGAGAAGTTTATTTTCGATGATGCAAAAATAATAGATGAGTGTTCACAGCGTGGTATATAATGGCTGTTTAACACCCTAGTAAATCCATCAGCTGGCGGAGCATGGGCGCGAATGGTGCGTTCGGTTAAAAGTGTATTGGCTTTCACATTAAAGGAAAAGGCTCCTCAATTTGAAACCTTTCACAGTTTATTAATAGAGGAGGAAAATTTGACATCCAATCATTTTTTGATTGGATGCCCGAATATAGTACAAACGCCTGCTGTGCCAGAAAACAATGGCATATACTACAGTAGTTAAAACAAACTTTTTGGAAAAGATGGATACAAAAGTATCTCCTTGAGTTAACTCGTTGGACAAAGTGGCACCAGCCAGTTAAGCCAATTCAGACCGGTGATGTGGTTATAATATGTGATGATAGTGAAATCTGTGGGCAATGTAAAAGAGGTGTGGTGGAGGAGGTGTTCCTGGCAGCAGATGCGCGGTGGTGAGAACAACAATTGGCAATTAAGACGTCCGGCATCGAAATTGGCAGTACTGGATGTTAGAAGAGAGTCTCCCTGGTCGACATACGGGCCGGGATGTTATGCATTGATTTTTATATTTGAATTTAAATTTTGTAACTGTATTCTATGTTTTGAAACAGTGATGTATTCGAATAATATGTGTTTTGTTTACGTATTTTTATTGAAGTAATTGTAAGGTTCGAATATTTTTTATGGTAATCGCTTGGGTGCACAAAATGCACAATCACCATTTTATGTTAGTTTTCTGAAGAAGATTAAATAGAATAAGTTTCGATGGAACTTTAATTTTGAAATTTTTTATTGTCAACCATTTTATTTTTTGAATTTAGATAATAAAACACGACACACGATACACGATTCACATTTGCATCACATGTTGATGCTTTCGATTTAAACATTTTGTTTTATTATTGTTCTAAGTGGAAATTACTCCGTTACACAAATTTTACGTTGCTACTGCAACAGAAGTAAATAACCAGATTCTGGAACTGCGACATTTCAACTAATAACATCGCCATTAATTCTCGAAACAGTTCTGTCAAACAATGTTGTGATTAAAAAGTTCTGATGAAACCATTTCTTTCAATATTTCCATTGTTACAAATATTTACAGATTTTAAAAACAACTACTTCAAACCAGTAGAAAAATGTCTCGAATTTATTGTAAGAAATTTTAATTATAATTGACGGTTTCCAAAAATTGATCTCAATCTCAACAATTTGAATCAAAAATCGCTAGAAAATGATCTAGTTCTAACGAAGGTGTATATTTTCTCTAAAGCTTCTTTAGAACTATATCTGAGGATAGCAAACTCGAACTTAAGTCATTGATTAAAGAACTAGTTCCAGAAACGTTCCATTGAACGAGTTTGTTGATGCGTAACGCAAAATTTTTTTTTTTAAATGTAACTTGAGCTCATCAAATACGAACCGATATTTCTACAGATAACCAGTAAACATTAATTTTTATGTTGTACATAATTAATTTTTAACCATATTTTAATAGAAGAACAATTAAAATTGGCATACAAGAATATGTACAAAAAATCTTAAGAGGTGTTAAAAAAGTGCCAAGAAACATTTGAAAAATGCTTAAAAAGTGCATTTTTGGGTACTAAATGATCTTAAAAAGTGCTAAATCTAGCACTAAAAGTGCTAAATTGGCAACACTGATTGTAAGTGAAGCATAAAGTTATAACAATTATTATTTATTTTGCAACTTCTGGCAGTGTGTGTCCTCGAAAGGCAATTAGTTCAGAAGTTATGTTCATTCATTGTCAATTCTATCAGATATTAAAAGACTTTTAAAACGACGCACAGTGGACCATTCTACGAGATGGCGGTCAAAAATCTATAACTTTTGATTGGATCGGAATTTTTGAACCCGTTTTTTTTATAGACGATTTAAAATTAAATTTAAAAGGTTTGCAATCGTTTCTAAACGTAAAAGTAACGGTTCGGTAAAGGAATTTTAACGATAAAGGTAATTTCGAGACTGGTAAGGAAAAATTCGTACTTGTTTAAAAACTAGAAGAATGAAAAATATCGGATATTATTATATTATAATATTATTATGATGTTGGCTGCACTTGTTTAAAAACACTATCAAATTTTTGTCACATAAGCAACAGCCAGATTACAATTGGATCAGGGACTTTTGCGTTAAACGTCAAAGAGGTTAGGACTTTGAGGTTAGGAAATTATACTTTAATCGTTTGTTATAAGAAATATAATTTTGTGAGTATTATTTAAAATTGTTTGACATGGTTTGGCCAACAGACCGAATTTTCTGGGAATGCGTTACCCTCGCATTTCTGCATCGGTGGTGTTAACTATCCAGTGGTGCCCTACCGGGAACCCGTCCTACAATGTACAAAATGCTGGCACCATGAAACGTATTCGAGAAAATGCCCAACGTATATTAAACTTTTGAACTCGAAGATAGAAAAAGCCAAATCGATGAAACCAAAAGCACTGTCATTTAACCACCTGTATTGCCATCCCCTAGGATTGCTGTTGCGGAGAAATCCTTTTCGTGAACGGAGGTCTACTGCTGGGGATTCTGTAGTGTATTCTAAAATCGCTGAGGCCTTTGTGAAGGGCACCAATGGCGTTGGTGGAGATATGAAGGTTATAAAATCTTTTTTAACCTCTATTATGGAGAAGATAGAAAATAATGCTTCAACTAATGATTCCGAAGGTATCTCATCCTTCTGTAAATCTATTTCGGAAACTTTAATTCATGAAGATAATTCAACATAACTCAACTAGTATTCGCAATAAAAACATCAGTTTCAAAATATCTCCATACCAACAAAGTATCCGAAGCGTGTCTCTCGGAAACTTTTTGGGACTCTAATGATAATTTCCATATTCATAGCTATCACACAATCCGCTCTGACCGTGTCGACAATACTCGTGGTAGTATAGTAGTATATATATCCCACCTAACTATACAAATTGCGAACAGATTGTAAATCAACTAGAAACACTACTATATTTTACTAGGTACTCTGGAGTGATGCTCTGCGGGGATTTTAACGCTCACAATGAGGCATGGGGAAGCAGCCACACGGATAACCGTGGCATGAAAATTTTAGAATTGTTCGAATCTTATAATATAATCCTATTGAATACAGGAGAATATACTTACCTTGGAAGAACACCATCCTGTATGACCTGACCTTTGAATTTTGTGATAAATTAACTGGTCCATGTGGTCCTTCTAATGATCCGGATAGGAGATTATTTCCAATTGATGACAATACAGATCATATGTTACTTACTCTGAACTTAATAATGCCCTCTAAATGGAAAAACTTTAGCCTAGTTTATACCGATGGCTCTAAATCCAACTTTGCTGTTGGAAGCGGTATCTGGTTCCCCGATTTTGATATCGAGGGTTATTTTTCACTACTCCCACAATCATCAATCGCTGTTATCGAAGCCCTTAAGCTGTCAAGATGATAGACGTTTTCTGATCTTATCCGACAGTAAATCAGTCCTCACAGCTTTAGAATCACTTCCTTTAAGTCGTACCCACCCTTACATCTATGATATCAGAGACCTATTATATTCACTAAGGCTACGTAATATTGTGGTTAAATTTTTTGTGGATCCCCAGTCACATGGGAATTTATGGCACCGAACATGTAGACAAAATCGCATCATCTCACCCTTACAATGACAATACAAATGTTGTTTCTGACATGGACTTGAGGGCATCTGATCGTTTGTCTGCTATATCTAATTGGCAATCTCGATGGGACAATTCTGATCATGGTCGCCATTTGTACAATATTGCCCTGCTAATAAACAAGGAGCCGTGGTTTAAGGCTAGTGGATTCTCTCATCACAAAATTTCATTAATTAATAGACTGAAAATTACCCACACAACATGTAAAGATCACGTTTATAAAATCAATATCACAAATGATAATATGGAAGCGTAACTTCTAGTTCCTAATATAGAAGTCTTATAAATAAAAATAATGAAAATTTGCAAACAAATAATGAAAACAAGAAATTATAGTCGGGCGAGGCCGACCATATAATACCCTACACCTTTGACAAAAATATTATGTGATTTATTTGCCGTAATAAAGCATTTAAATTGAATTGTACCTTGCCTCAGATATACATATTTAAGCCGTTTATTGTTGAATAAAATTGTGGACATTTAAGTGAAATTTTGATGGGGGCTTTTCATAGGGGCTAGGGTCATATGAGGACCTATTATTATGGAATTCGTGAGGGTCATCAAATCTTGTATAGAACTTGGTTTTTGCAGCTTTTTGTCGAGATATATAAACATAATTATAGTATATTAAACATAATTATGAACCTAAAATATGAAAATATTCGGCGGGTTCAGTTGTATGGGGGCTAGGTGAAATAATGGACCGATGTAAACCATTTTTAACAGGCTTCGTTTACGGTACCATAAAGATCATGTGCCAAATTTCATTGAATTATCTCCAAATTGCGACCTGTAGTTTGATTACAAGGTTTACAAGCCCTATTGGGGGGTTCAGTTGTATGGGGGCTAGGTAAAATAATGGAACGATCTTAACCATTTTCAATAGGCTTCGTCCCTGGGACAATAGAAGATCATGTACCAAATTTCATTGAATTATCTTCAAAATTGCGACCTGTAGTTTGATTACAAGGTTTAAATGGACGGACAGACAGACGGACGGACATAGCTAAATCGACTCAGAAAATGATTCTACTTTAGGATGGGTATAGGACCAATATTATTGTGCGTTACAAACATCAGCACAAACCCAATATACCCTCCCCACTGAAGTGGTATATGGTATAATAATACCACGTTATTTTCATATGCACATGCATTAAAAGAGGGAGTACCCGCACCCGAAACAAATTCTCAAAGCTCTATTGAGAATCTAATTCAAACCATGAACAGTTTCATGGCAAATATGCAAAATATTTTTCAACAATTAATGCAGAATCAAAGCATGCTCATGCAGATCCTGCTAAATAAGAAATGAATTCCCTAAGAATTTGTTTTTGGAATGCTAACGGCCTTAGCCAATACAAGAATGAAGTAGAACAATTCCTGCTACTTCAGAAAATTGACGTACTACTCGTCTTTGAAACACACTTTACCCTAAAGAATTGTTTCAGAATTAACGGATACTACACTTACGATACAAAACATCCAAGTGGCAGAGCCTGTGTTGGAACAGCCATTTTAGTGTGAAAAAATATTAGACATTTCCCAATGCCAGAATACAAAAAGGACCATATCCAGGCCACCTCTATAAATATGCCTGATAGCAGAGTTACAATATCTTCAATATATTGCCCTCCTAGGTATAATATTAATCGAGAGCAGTTTCTCGATTACTTTAAAACTCTTGGACCAAGATTCATAGCAGCTGGTGATTATAATGACAAACATGCAATTTTGGGCTCTCGCCTCATTACTCCCAAAGGCAGACAATTGCTAGAAGCGATATAACAGACTAGATGCCATATCTAGTGGCCAACCTACCTATTGGCCTACAGACCTCAATAAGATTCCCGATCTAATTGACTTTGGTGTAATCCAAAACATAAAACGAGAATTTATTTCAGTGATCCCTTCACTGAACCTCTCGTCAGACCACTCTCCTACAGTTTTAACGTTAAATTGGAAAACTATTGTTCTTGTTTCCCTAACAAGAAGACGAACTGGCTAAAGTATAAAATGTATGTCAGCTCACACTTGCCACAAAACATTTCATTGAAAAATGACCATGA